CTTCCGCCCCTCGGCCCCTCCTCTCCCGCCCCTCGGCCCCTCCCCTCCCATCTCCCTCTGCCCCCGTCCTGCCCGGGCCCCTCCCTGCGGGCTCCACCGCGGTCATGCCTGAGTGGCCCTCTAAAGCTGCGTCGTCTCCTCATCGCTTTGGACCCGGGGTTTCAGCGACGGTGTGCCGCGGTGTTAGCTCCTGGGACCCCCGGGGCAGAGCAGCGCACCTGGGGACTTAGCACACAGCAACCTCTTCTCGGTCTGGAGGCCAGAATCCTGTCAAGGTGCGGCAGGACCGCACCCCCTCCGCAAGCGCAAGGCCAGGGTCCGTCCTTTGCCGCGGGGACGTTTCTGGTGGCTGTGGGCCTCTCACTCCGGTCTCCGCCTGTCTCCGCGGGCCAGCTCTCTGTGTCCCTCCTCTTCTCTCCTGCCCACCCTAATCCAGGATAGTCTCATCTCCAGATCCCCGACTCAATCACATCTGCAGAGACCCTATTCCAGAGAAGGTCCAGGCCCAGGTGCTGGGCATTAGGCCGTGGACAGGCTCTTCAGGGCCCCGTCCCTTAACACTGCCCTGTCCCTATGGCCACTACGCCCCCAGCACAGTGTTGAAAATAGTCCTGCACCAAACCCTCTTCTAGTTACCCTGTTGGGGTCCCCTCGGGTCATTTCAGAGCAAGTTGCCTTGGTCATTCTGTGACCTCTAGAGGCAGCAGAAGGGACAGCAGTGTCTCTCCTGCTGGTGTGGCTCGTGTCCCAGAAGTGCGGGCCTGGCCTGTCTTCTTGTTGTTTTTAGTAAGTTCTATGCCCATTGTGGGGCTTGAACTCAAGACACTGAGATCAAGAGTCACATGCTCCCCTGACTGAGCCGGCCAGGGCCCCAAGGCCTGCTTCATTTTGATGACTGAAGCTGCCTCCAAAGTAACAGGAGGTCCCACTGCCCAGCACGGGCTGCAGGGTGGGGTCTCCCCAACACAGCCTTCCCTGACTGTGCCTGCGAGCTGACCTCTTGTCTCGTTCAACTGCACAGTGACCGTCCATCCCCACATGTATAAGAACCTATGGGGGGTCGGGGAGTATAGGAAAAGGAAGAAATCTTGGTCAGTTGCGACTGTGCGTTATTGCAGTTTCTGCAAGGCGGGTGACAGGCCCTTGGCCCTGAGCTGAGGGCCCCCGGGGGCTCCTGCAGGTTCCCGGTGCCCTTGGGAGGTCAGCTTAGGGAGGGAGGAGGGACCATGAGGGCCAGGTCAGATGCCCCCTCTCCAGGCAGTGGGAAGCGGTTGAGTTGAGGTTCGGGGCAGCCTCCAGGCTCTGGGTCTCCTGGGGAGCAGGTCTGTGCTCCCAGCTCTGTAACAAGCTCTTGTCTCCCTAGACCCTGGAAACCGCTGGCTACGTGAAGAGTGTGCTAGTAAGTAATTCTCTCTCCTACATTCACACCCAATGCCCCGTGCACTTGTCCCTGGGACCCTTGGTGCTGGTGACTCCTTCTAGTCCGGACAGAGGCGGCTGTGCCAACACATGCTACCTGCCCAAAGGTTTTGCCATGGGACTGAGAACACCCATCCGTTAGGGTCAGATAGATGCCCCAGGTGGTCTTTGGTGACACCTGCAGGAGCCAGCACCCAGCTTTGCTCATTCTTCAGGGGTGGCTGCCCTCCCTGGAGCACTGACCCCCACCACGGGTTTCTGCCCCGCCAGCGTGGTCTAGCAGTCTAAGCGTGGCTGGTACATGGTCAGGGTCATGGAAATTCAGTGGAGCTCCCTGGGGAGAAACGGGTTTTTGGTCTCCTTACGTGTCTGCAGGGTCCCTTTCCAGCTGTGTGGGGTTGCCGCTTCTCCAGACATCTGCTCAGAGAGTACAGAGCAGGGCTGGCCTTGGTCCCTCTCGGATTCCCATTTCTGTGTGTGGGCTGCTCAGAGCCTGCCCCCCAGCCACACACTGTGAGGAGGCTGGAGCACCCTGAGCATGGTGGGGCGACAGCCGCCCACGTGGGCCGTCGCTCCTTTCAGCGCAAGCAGAAACCACGCGCCATCTGCCCCTTCAGTGCCAATGTTCCTGAGCAGGGCCGCGTGTGTGACCATGTAGACAGTAGCCCATCTAGAAACCACCCTCCAAGTCCGTGCAGATGACTGCGCAGGAACATTAACGGAGCTGCTCACCCCTCAGAAAATCTCTTCCACTGGTTTTTGCAGGAGCGAGATAAGCTTTTAAGATTTCGGAAGCAAAGAAAGAAAATGGCCAAACTCCCCAAGGTAAAGGAGACGGTGTTGATGTATGTGTACACAGAATGTATGTTTTTTAAAAGCCACTTAACACGAGGGCGTTCCTCGTGACAGCAAGGAGGAGGGGTTAGCCCTGGGACTCTGGCCTTCCCCTGCGG